TACTGTCATTCAGTAGCTTACAAACATACAGTGGGAGGATTTAGTGGGCGCACGTGACATGGAATCAATAAGGCAACCAATTTGAACCTGAAGCGATCTGGGTCATCTCTTCCTATGACAAAGCTAAGCTGGACATGAGCTCCACTTGCTTGTGCAGGTCGAGCTTTAGCTGCCGGATTAGGGAAACCTTGGCAAACCGGAGCAATGTTGGACCGTTCTGCCTACTGATAACCTTGAACAAGTTAGGGGGTCTAGGTACGCATTGTAATCGATTAGGTGTCGAGCAATGGAGCTAGCAGGTTGCGTAGAATGGCTAATAGCTAAGCTTCGCGAAACAAGCTCCATACTGCTTGTTGATAACCTTCTCTCAGTCCTACCAGGGTACATGCTACCGCAAGTTGAGGCCACTAGTGCTCGGAGTTTTCAGCGGACAGTATCGACAATCGTGTGGGGACCTCACTTTTACTTACCACATTTTGCGAGATCCCAACCACACACGCCGCTACATGCTAGAGCTCAGTCACAATAGCAAACCGAGAGGTCACCATCTCAAGCTGACAGAGCAGCACAGTCGTTTGGAATGTCGTCGGAAGTTCGTTTCCCTACGCGCTTGTAGAAGGTGGAATGCCCTACCGGAACCTCATATGTGCTCCCATGCTGGCAGAGTTCAAAGCCCGAGTTGACCGTGCGCTTAGTTTGCTGCACAATCTTAAACAACGCATTACCCATGGATAAACATAAGTGTTTGTAAGCGATTTCACTGGCGGTCAAATCCAAAATTTCGTTCCACTTTTTCACCTCCTCTATGTGTCCACCATGAGGAGACACTATTTTTAGCAACATCCCGTTTTGTGTCATTTCTTAAGGATTTACCTTGGATTTACAGTCTATACTATGTATACTTCAGTGAATTTACTGGTATGAACGCAATTTTGCTAAGAACTTTTTATATTTTGTAGTTGTACCAAAACCATCTTATGGAACATGCAAAGCATTAGCTTTTTACTCGTATTAAAGCATTGTTCCACTGTTCCATTGAGTCGGAATTGCGTAGATATTAAGCAATTAGCTAGCCGGCCCACATAACTTATCCGAGAACGAGCACATGGGGTGTTTATACAACAGAAAGAAGCCACTCCGTCAAACACATTTGTGTGGATAGAGTAAAGTACCAACAGGATATTTTGGTAAGATTTTGATTTAACGCCGTTATTTGGTTGGCAGGTGAACAAACTTCGCAGAGTAAGGCGTAGAATTCCTCCTCTACATACAGGATGACGGTCAGCAGGAACGCCAAGAAACACGGCCAGCGCTCTAGGACTATCATTCACGCATAGGTTATAATATACACTGTCGTGTAACATACTTTATACGATTATACAGGTCGTAGGTTCGTATTCATTACCGCCATGAACGTGTTGAAATGCCCAATGTCCTCAAGCGAGTTCACTTCTACAGGCGCCTAAAGGAGTTGAAGATGGCTATCAGGGGTTTGAGAGAGCATGTCGCCAGCTTCTACTAACGATGTTTTAATAAGACTCAGGTTCCTACTAGGTGGAAACGCGGAAGAATCACTTCAATTTCCAAGTGGCAACTGTGCAGAACCAGCGAATTATCCTCCAATAACACCAACTTCGATGAGCTTCAAAGTAATGGTTTACATTTTCGCCGAGACACACATGGGTTACATCGATGAGATAAAGTTCCTTGTTCTGAAGCAGCACGGATTTCACCAGAATCGGTCATGTATCACTACCCTGCTGATAGCCGTAGCGTGATGGCATAGAAGTTGATGCCATCTGTCTGGGCCGCTTGAAAGCATTTGACAATCTGTATCATTACGTTCAACTTCACTAACTTCAGATTCATGGACTCATTGCTGTCGCACTCCACTGGATAGGGAACTTTCTACTTCGATATCTGGATGTGATGGTTCGTAACAGCTTATCCGACCCCATCGAAGTCCAATTCGTTGTTCCTCCGTCTCGAGATTCTGGCCTTGACTGCTCTTGATCTTCACAAATTCTTAACTGTTCTGTTCCTCACTGATGGTCTAAAGATAAGACATGCCACTAATGCCATGGAAGATCACACCTAACTGCAGAGGGGCCAATGTATAGTTTACATATTGTAAACTGATAAAATTCTCTAGTTTAACGCTGTCCATGCAACGTTTTGAGTATAAGACAGAAAACGACTGACGACAACTGGCTAGGGCCCTCAATTCTACAGCGCGCTTCCCATAACAGCACTCACAGCGCTCGTGTTAGGTGACGTGTTTGGGTCAAATTGAAAGAGTATCGAAGGAAACAACACACTTTGGACTTTTACGAAAAGCGCTCAAAAATTATTCGACGCCGCAAATTTTCACAATTAATTGGCTTCTTTGTTCTGACACATATGGGATACACTTTTCAAGCCTGAAATATCGGGTGGAAGCCCCATTTCATAGGGCTCGAGACGGCACAACCAGGGTAAGAGAGGACATTAGGGGGATGTCGCCTCTTCCCCACCAACTTGGACTGCAATCTCTAACAATATGCAACGGACATTACGAACTTATACAAGAATTTCACAACATCAAGAACAAGGGACCGAAGTTAAACACTTCCTTTCGGTGAATTCATCAGCAAACCTTTATAATCATATGGGTACAAGAAAATGGGAGTAACAGTGGTTTCGATCAGTTCAAATGAAATCAGATCACGTGCCAACTGGAGGGATAAACTAGCAATAAACGTAAACGATAAGCACAAACTAGGGCAAAGGTGTAGTCAAATGATCGCGCCTAGCCCCCGAATCGTCCATTTTATCTGGCCAGGATAACTTAAGAGCTTCGGTCAGTTTCTTTTGTGAACACAAATGCGGTTGATACAACTGAATACTGATGGCTTCAGCAGTAGCGAGGGTGCGGAGGCGCAGGCTTTTCCATTGGAGTAGTGGAACATTGTGTAGTATTTAAAAGGCGCTGATCGGATCAACTTCATGCCCACTATCAACCAGATGAGCCATAGCAGAGCTAGTTATAGCCCCGGTACCGCCTCGACGCAACCAGCATGGAAGATGCTCATTGACGCGCTTTGACAAGTGCCGTGCGGTTCGACCGATGTAAGTAGCGCCACAGGCGCACTCGAACTGATAAATGACTATAGAAGCGGTCAGCATCGGCAACTTATCTTTGTTCCAAATACGAATGAGAGGTTCTGCTGAGAAAATACACTTGAGCTTAGCAGCTGGAAAAGTTGACTTAACGGCTGCGGAAAGGCTTCTGGCTACACGCTCGACGGCTGCGTCTCCCTTGAAAGGTAATCTTATAACGAGTTCTTTCTTCTCAGCTGTTGGAACCTGCACCGGGTCGGGTTTGTCTTGTATGTTCTTAAGAATGAATCGATCAGGATACCCGTTTTCGCGCAGCACATTTTGAATGAACCCCAACTCAGTATCCAACGTGTCTTCAGAACAGGTACTGCGGGCCCTTGTGGTTAGACAGCAAATTAAATTTCGCTTGTATCTCAAAGGAACGAAACTATGGAAGTTCGTATACTGGCCACTCCAGGTTTTCTTCCTGTATACATGCCGTTGAATCAAGCCATCTACCCTACGAGTTAACAATACATCGAGGAACGGCAACCGGTTGTTCGCTTCAGTCTCACAGGTAAACTGCAATGCTGCGTGGGCCCGATTTCAGAACGGTGTGTCAAATTCTGAACAGAACAAACTCGCTTGCCACCATGTCTTGAATCTCAGCCACAACACATCAATGAGGGGACAAAACTTAAAGCTGATAACGATGTACAGCCAGCTGGAATATCACGGATATTCTTCCTTCTTATGGGCATCGCATCCCTGGGACTCCTACCGAGTGTAAGGACTTGATACCCCGCCCGATCATTATTCAAAATACCACTTACGGACAGATTTACGTTTACAGTACGTGATATGGCCTGCACAAATGGAGTAACCGCATTAGCGAAGAACGAACGTGTGCAAATCAGATCCGCCTTAAACTGCAGGCAGGAGTACACTGGTCAATGTTAGTTCAAGCTCTTGCTGAGTTCAGATACACCTTACTTCCTTATGAAATTTCAGTATAATTTGCATTATGTAAGTTTCGTCCCGATTGTCCATAACGCTACCTAAAAGGCATTGCTTAATGGCTCCTTAACACGAATTGGGGTTTAGGGTAACCATTCCTGTATTTATCTTCGATCTGTATCACCATGAGTAGTAGGTTTTACGGCACTTTGTGTACATGACCAAAGCTAAGCAGCGTCAGCCGTCAGTAGCATCTCGGATAGGTCTCTGTCGTTAAATAACACAGAGGACTTAGTGAGCTTGAATTCAACGGGCTGATATGCACCTTATGTCTTCTGGTCCCAGGTATAACCAGCTCATCTTCATCGTCACACTACAAGAAACAATTTACCTGTATTTTCTACAAGACGAATAAATCGGTTGTAAGGAACACGGAAAGAAAAGGGGATTCTTATGTGCCGCTTACGACGGGGTCGAGAAAGTCGGCTTAACTGCGTGACACAGACATGCTTTCGTGAGTAAGGGATTTTAGATAAAAGCCAGCTCCATTCGTTCATCACCAACAATCTGATGCGCAAGACCATCCAAAATAATACGTATCTGGTTCAAGTGCATTTCAGCAGCTAAGCATAGCTTTTGATCCGCGTTTTGCGTACGAAATGGCCTTGCGTAACTTCTTTAATTAAAGTGTTGCAATATGAAGCCAACTCTAAGTAATGATATGCAACCACTTTAAATTCATAGAAGAAACACAGTTTGGTATGGTTTAGTATTGCGAACAAGAAGTTTGCCAGTACCCTCCTGTTTCTTCTTTATATATATATATATATGTAAATATATATGGGTATACAAACATTACCTTTATGTGGTGTTATATACCAAAGAAAGCTTTTCTATCTTAGCAACGGGTAAAAGTCGGTACTGACGATGATTCAAATAGGTATATTGTCGAAGGAAGCGCTTACCTTTCAGTGCTATTGCGAAGGTATTACAACCTTCCAGTGATGGATTCTACTACCGTCTAGAAAAGCCAGTACGATGTTGCCTTCTAGTGCCAGTAGATGAACAGCGATTTTCCTGACGACCGTTGAGATTTCCGGGCTCAGCAAACGAAGTGCAGCACGGTTTCTTTGTTCCCTCTTATTTGTAACCCGGTAGCGATTGGGCTCCTGAGGTGTTAATCACTGGGAGGTCACTGTTACACGAATGGTCTTCGCGAGCCATGTTTACCGGATGTGTGTGTGTGTGACGCTTTGCATTCATGCCTCAACCGAGTGCCCATTAGAAAACGCCACGCCTATCACCTACGACGGCACTGGCGCGCGATTGGTCCCAGCGATGTCCATCTGCTCTCTCTCTTCACCATCTCCAGCGCCACTAGCACCAACATTGTTATCACTCACAAATTTCTGGTAAGGGCATAAAGCTGCGTGTATGCACGCACACAGACGCGCACGTTAAAATTAGGATGGAAAAATAGAAAGAATTGAGATTCATATCCGGATCTGTTGGATGTCCATATGAAGGACAGAGTAGTAGCCTGGCGTTTAACTTCTGGTTTGACCTCTGTGAATGACTCACTTGTATTTCAGACGAGACGTCACGGTACATACTGTCTCTGGTAAAAGCGCCTCCGTTGTCTGCTCTTCTCGCCACAAACTACTTGCTTCCACGTTTGAGGGTCAGGAATGCGGCAACCCGACCATAACAAAAGGTAGCATTTTTGTCTAATCTACAGTTAGAGCTTTCGCCTCTTTATTAGGCCTAACTTGATGTAACCTATAGTTTTTAATTTACAGTTAAATGCACTTATGATTAATGCACAAGAGCGGCAATCCGATGGCGAAAATGAGCTGACGAACCATTACCCAGACTGACTTATGGTTCAAACTGGAATCGATTGTCCCGATCCAATCACACATCGAGTACCCGGAAACCTCAATGTGAATTCTCAACGGCTGTGGTAAGGGTTGTTCGCGGTAGTCCATGGCTAAGTGCAGGGGTCAGTATCACATCCGACGACAGTACTCCAATTTGCGTGATAAAGCGTGTGGAACACAAAACGTGACAATGATTAAAAATAGTTTTGATATTAAGCGACCTACACACGCGTGGAAACCGCACGGAGACCAAGTGCTTTAAATTTACTATTTTTATTCTAAGCTTATCGTACCCATATTTTATTCTTTGATGTGAGGTTCTACGCTCCAGAAATTTTTTACTTGTTTTTGTTTAGCATTCATATCACAGACATGTAACAATAATTTCCTTGTTTAACAACTATAGGCAAATGAACTACAGGTGTGAATAGAGGTAATAAAATGGTAAGTATTACAACTCGATAGAAGTCTTCCGTTATTACGAAAAATCTACCAAAAGCACAGAAAAATTGTCTAGTCAGGGTGTTAATCGAACTGGTCTCTAGGCTGTTGCAGATCCTAACGCAAATTTTTAGCTTGCTCAAGGAACACTGCGCAATGATCTAAGGTCTGTCCTACTAAGTGTCAAAAGCCAGGTTACCAAAAATTTTGTATTAAATGATGGGATGACCTCGCATGTGATCTCTACAGGAACAGCAAAAGATTGCGGAGAAAGCTGTCATTGTTTAGAATGTAACTCGAAGAGAATATTTCGTCATCTTTTCTGTTTCAAAGAACTGGTGCTGCAATGCCAATATGTCCACCTCGATATACCGAAAACAATTATCCATGACTTGAGGAAGACTTGGCTGGAGATCTTTCCAAATATTGACATAATTTATGGTGAAATGCTTCCATTTCAGAATCTGTTTGATTTTAACGTTAATGATGTGTTGGTTGGGGTACAGTTGGAATTCAGTGGTCTGCAGGAAAAAGATTTGTTGTAAGAGACGCACAGAGAAGAAAGTTTGTTGAATTTTACCGCTGTTTACCCGGAGCTCACTTTTCGAATCTGAGAAACCATTACAAATGATATGGCACCCGGGTTTGGAACAACTTGTGTCTATGAGGAAACCGTTACAAACTAAAATATCTGAATTCATCACATCGAACTAGATTAACCGATGGAACTTAGAGATCAGTACACGTGAATGGAAGCGGCAATTCCAAACCGAACACCGGTGACATTATGAAAGTCAAATGGTGGTTTCGCAAATCTCCATAAGCTACTTGACGCTTAGTTTGTGAGATTCGGATATGTGCACACCACGTACGAAGTAACCAACGGTTTACTAACGTCGTTTTCCTTGTTAATTCGTTTGGTAAATAACAATGTGCGTTTTCTTTGTTTTTTGTGCAGTGCATGCTACTCACCCATGATAAAGATGGAACGTGTAACTTAACTGTGTTTTTCCCCCAGTTTTCATTTTGACTTGCAAATGTTCTACGGAATAGTCGTCTTATCACTCATACGGTCCACTATGGAACAAGTCTGGTGGCTCCTGGCTTAGTGGTAGAGCAGTAGGCAGAAATGTCGGAACAATGACGACACCAATAGTGAAGTACAGTATTAGAAACGAGAATTTTACTCGTCCAAGTCAAATACATTTGTAGCACTGCAAATGACAACTTTTTCAGTTGGTTATCCATGATGAGGTTGTTATTCATAGCCATTATAAAGCTTTACAACCTCCGATTTTTAACACACTAGCATCGTATACTCTATCAAAACAACCAACAGAACTTAAATACAGATTTCATATATATATATATTTATATATATATACATATATATATCGGTCCAGGTTAGTAAATTAGGATAGAAGCCCCGCAATTACGCATAGCAGACGAGTATCAACACACTGTACTCGTTGCCACGGTGATGACTTACCAAACCGATTCTGTCGTGGCACACGCGGTAGTCTAATATAGCAGCAGGTGTGTGACACCGGTGCTGTACTCTGGCACCAGTAGTCATTTGCGTAATCAGCGTCAGTGTTCCCGATGAAGCAGTCATTTCTCATGAGTGCGGGAAACTGCTGCCCTCATGGAGTCGCGCTACTAGTTGTGACAGACTGACATTTCTTCACAGCCCGTTAAGTCACCATTAGTTCTTGATGTACCCACTTAGATCACGTAATGACAGTACAGCTTCCATTTCTCTACATTCCATTTACCTGCGGTCGAATGAATGTGCATCAAACGTTTCGGTAGTGTATGCCATCGTCAACAGAAAAAGGAAAAACCTGCCTATTTTGAACACTTTGCAGATATCCTGTGGCGCCCTCTATATTTCTTCGATCCAGCCATCCGGACAAATTCCGGCTACTTGGACTGCTAGTTGATTGGAAGAGCAAACACTCGTGGAACAAGGTAGGCCAAATCAGAACACAACTGTATGATTCATCTCATGCTCCCCTCAGTCACCTCCAGCGCACGGGCAACTTGCGCACCAATCTGGTACCATGCCATTCTCATTCATGGTGGTCCACCGACAGACTCAGATTAATGGACAGAACCCTCCGGCCAGATATATAAAAATAGTTGCTACTTCACAAGGACAATGACGTCGCTTCATTCCACACAGTGATTAGGAACTATGGCCCAGGGGTTCCTTGTCTTTCTATTATGATCCCATTGCTACGGAAGGATTGTCTAGAATGCCATCTTTCACTCTCCCATCAGAGTACCACCTAGACAATACGGAGCCTTCGGTCTCTACCACACGGCGCATCACTATGAAACTCTTGATCATTGGGAAACACGTCGTCCTTGACAAAGTGATTTGAAGAAACCATGGAAGGACTAACTGCTAAAATTTGTAGACGAACCGTTGCTTCGAGGGGTAATTACGAAGCCAGTGCCTGAAAATTGGATAAGAAACAACATTTCGACTTCCAGCGCGTGGGGTGTCGACAAAATCCTGATGCTCCAATGGACGATCACATACAAATCCAACGGATCTTCACTGCTGAGGAGCATGCGGACACATAATAAATACTTTCTAACTCTCTGCAGTCTTGCGCAGCGAGCCACGATGCTCGCTTTAAGAGGCACAACGAGAGCGTGAAGCAACTAACCCACATCCTTCATCTCAAAGGGCTCCAAATAATCCTCGCGACATCAAGGTAGATCAAACCGAATTTAATGGCCATCAGGAACTCTGTGGCGCAGGTAAAGGAGGTGGCAATATGCGGCACCCAGCTAATGACCAGTAGCTACCAATTAAATATTGACAAGTGCACGACAAACCTACACGCAGAGTATAATGTCACAAAACATCTCAGCATTATTAAGGTATACTCACACATTCGCTGCCGGTTCCGATAAACATCTTATTTTTAACATTATTATTGTTTCGCTATTACACCAGGACGTTTGTCCCATCCCAGCTAATTTATGGAATGACCAGGCATGACTCCATGCATAAACTTGCCAAAAATATACGTGCACGGACCGTCATTCGCATTGGAATGAAACTTGATCAATTCGGTCCATAAGTAATTAACTGATGAAGAAGATGAATATTGGATGTACAGTGCCTTCGGGCGGGCAACACTTAATAGTCTTCGGCTTCATCAGTTACAGTCCCATTGATTGAATTGACTAGGGTTCACTTCAGAGCGAATGGCAATCCATTCAAAATATGAGTGTTTCAAAATGATCATCCAGTCAGTCATTGCTGTCTTGCTCCAATATGCCTTTCACCACATTTGGGAGGATGTCTCATTCTTCAATACTGATTCCCTCATCGTTATGACGGTGCCGGACAGTTAGAGGCACTGCTGTTGGGTGGAGCCTGGGATACTAGTCGGTAATCAATGACACGCAAGAGACGTGTCAAATACGGGACAGTATAGAAGCTGCAGACGACTGAACCCAACGTGTGTTGTGCAGGCTAGAAAAATAGGAAGTGAATCAACCAGAGAGAGGAACGGTGCAGCAAGGTACTCACCAAAACGCGTTGTGTCAACGGATGAGCAGTCAGTAAAATACAGGGACGTTTTGAAGGTTAAAACAATCGTAAAATCCAATGTTGCAAAATACTGATAGAGCATGCTTTCCGGTACACTACACTGCCCACACTGGGGACGTGGTATGCCGGACTGCCTGTCACATTTGGAAAGACACAAGTTTTGCACAACACCCTTCTTTTGGAGCAAATAATACTCAGCTGCGCCAATGATGCAACACATGGGCCACTTCCATCTTGCTATCGGAGTGGCTGTGAGTAGCATCCTTTAGAGTTGTCCCATTTGACAATTCCTGGCGTCTATT